TCACTTCCAGGTGGCAGGCTGATCTAGAATATGCAGACGACATTGTGCTACTAAGTGAAGATCCAGGTAAGTTAGAAGCTTTTCTGGGTAGATTGAGTGCTGTCGTGTTTGGTATGCCTTTTGCACCTTCAAAATGCAAAATGCTACTACAAGGTTGGGTTGGTCCAACGCCCACTCTCACCCTAACTAGGGAATTAGTAGAGGAATCAGTCAAATCTCGCTATCTGGGCAGCTATATCTCACCTGGCGGACGCATCACAGATGAAGTGTCGGCGCGTATACAGAAGGCTCAGCTGTTATTTGCCAACTTGAGACATCTGTCGCGAAATCCGGCTCTGTGAAGGGTCGAGTGTATGCTGCAGCAGTTTGGCCAGTTCTGCTCTACGATGCAGAGGCTTGGCCTTCAAGGGAACAGGACAAAAATAGTGTCGGTGTTCGAACACCGTTGTCTACGTCACATTGCACGAGTCTGATGGGGTAACCGGAAGAGCAATGCTGAAGTTAGGCGTAGATGTTTAGGCTTTCGCGGTCGTGCACTAGAGCAAGTGATCGACCTGCATAGATTACGTTGGTTGGGGCAAGTTTTACGCATGTCACCAGATAGGTTGCCGTAGCGAGCTATGTTTGCCAAGGCTGGTAGCGGTTGGAAGAAGATCAAGGGTGGTCAAACTAAGACCCGGCATGAGGGTGTGGAAGCCATAACCAGGGGTCTGGGTCACATAGGTCCCCTGGATGGGGACCCCGGGACGATGGTCACCGATGGTTAGAGACACTGAGTGATGTGGCTGGGTGTCGCAAACAGTGGCGCTCGTGCATCAACTCCTTATTCCGCTTTCACTATTCTATATGAGCTGTCCATCTTCCGCTTGAATTTGTTTTCAATATTCCAATCTTCATTATGCTCTTTTATCCAAATGGAGCACCAAAAGACAGCAACCAAAACCGGCGCACGAAAGTGCAGTTAATGGGTGTAAAATCTGAAACTCAGTTGTACTCGAGTGAACGAAGAATAGGTGACCTAGCAGCTGGTAAACCAGCACTTCTGGAAAATGAGTCCTCCCCGGGATGATTCCCATCGTGCATCTCTTACCCGCAGTTTCACAAACATTCACCTAGATCCTTGATATTGATGTGGCCAAAGACTGCGCAATGAAATCTTCCGTCTGATGTGACTTTTATTCCAGACTCAACATAACCGTCGAAGCACAACCAAAGTTAGCAAGCTATTTAGTTGAACGAGGCGCATAAGACTGGGATAAACTCTGTGGTGGAACCAGCAAAAGCCAACCATGCGTCTAAATTAAGCCCAAGCCTCAAGTACCTTTCACTATTGAAGTCGCGTGTCATCTTTGGAATAATGGCTAATTCCTCTTGAAAATTCCCATATTGGCTGTTGCGTATAAGGATGCACGAGACATTCTGGGAATGACACCAAGTATCGTCCATAGTACCAATTGACGTTTTCCTTCAAGAATGCACCAAAGGATCTTGTGTAGTTACGTACTAGCTGCAGTGCAAGAGGGCGGCTTATTTTGCCAACTGAAAACTTCAGTTGAGCGCGAAAATCGTTCTCAAATTCAAGTTTGCATAACACGTAATGCTGCTTAAAACTTATCAAGCCAAACAGAAGGATCGAAAAGCTCCAATTACTTGTACCTGACTACCAGATTCAAAAAACTAAATTGTCATTACTGGTGAGCGCCAGGTTCTTCAAAATTATTCGATTAGGTACACAGGTTTATTATGTTCTTAAATCTGTCACGTTGGATTGCATGAAATATCACGCTTACCATTCCTTGGGTAAGCCTAGAAAACAAAAAATCAATTGTGAGCAGCTTTATCCAAAAAGTTGGATACTGAAGCGATTAGAATGAAGGTTCTCCCAACCGACATCGATCGTTTGGATTTGGTCGTTAAGACTCATAAACCATAAACATTACTGTTTGATGCTCGAATGTTTACCACTCTGGTGTAAGTCACATGTCTACGGCAGTGGCAGAAACCGGAGAATTTTCCCTCCTAGACTAAACATGGTCAGTGATCAAATGAAGATCTACCAACCAAAATTATAGACAAACTGGTTAGTGTCGAGTGTACGCTTGCCTGGGTTCCCAAAGCGAAAAGAAGAAGGAAAGAAAACTTCCAAATTTATGGTACAGCCCGTTTTCAAAAATGGTCTCCATTGATGAGACTCGCAAAATGGCATGTCGACTGATCTGCGAGTGCTTGTGTTCTTGTGGTAAGGTGAGAAGTATGATGAGCGTTCCCCTAAGGACTTTTTGGACAAAATAATTTACAGCAGCACGTGAGTGTGAGACAGTAATAAAAAGAAACAAGAAAAACCGTTGATTCACAGAAATGTCGCACACACTTCGCCTTTCGTACGTGGTAATGATAATCGAACAGAGTCAGAGACTCAAAGTCCCACGAGAAACTCTACAGCAAATATCAGCGGAACATCAGTGATTAATCAGTGCCCAAAGAGATAGGCGAACAATAACAATCCCGAAACATTGTAGGGATGAAGGAGTCAATGGACGAGTAAGGTGTTGTGAAGTGCCACAAATTATGAGCCCCATTGAAACATTTCACACTGAATAATGCAGTGTAACCGAACACCAACTCACTCAAAGTGACCGAGCTGGAGTTATTACACAATGAGGGGAAGATGAAATTTCACAAACTAGGAC